ATTGTGAAGCTGTAGCTTTCCATCCCGCCACCAACATGGAAGCACTTGGGTTAGGCCCAGGAAGCTCCGTGGCAGAACTGGAATTAGTTTGTCTACAGACCGTTCTCATGCAATCCATAGGATATACAAAGGAGGTCTCGCAGGCTGGTTACGTGCCTTCTCTGTGTCTTGCTTTCCTCATTGTTGAAATTGGAATAATAACAACTATTAAAGCCTCAAAGTCACTGTGCGGATACATGAAATAATGTATAAAATTGGTTCACATAATGCTTGATGCACATATATGTGTATGTAATGGGCTGTCTGCCTGTGACCAGCACTGTCCAGCAGGGTAGAAAGCACTGCTTATCAATTTGAGGGACAAACTAACACACGTGGCAGACGTGGAAAGGCCATGCTTCCCCAGAGGGAGTCATGGCAAAGAATAAAGGAGGCTAATATGCAGAATCTAACCCCGTGCCTGGCAGACACAGGCTGCGCAGTGTAGCATTTTTGAGAGGTGATCATGTGTTGGGCTTAAGCCCCTATGGCCTTCAGGGTGGGAGGGTCCCCGGGGGCAGATGCTATCCTGTGGAATCATGTAGCCCAGTAGTTCTTAGACTTCACTGCAGATGGGAATTCCCTGAAAGGCTAGTGAAAACTCAGATGGCTATGACTCCCCCTGCCCCCTCGGCTGGGGAAGAACCACCAACATGCCTCCGCCGGCTTTAGGGCAGTCCTGAGAGTAAAAGTTGGGTAGTGATTGGCTGACACCAATTTGATTTTCCCTTCCCCTACTTTGCCTTGAAGGGGTGACAGTGGGTGAATAGGGACCTGCAGAATCCACCAGCCCCAGAGCCCAGGTGCGATGGTCCTGGGCAAATAACCACATCGCACTTTGAAGACTAGCTCCCTCAATGGGTTCTTCTCCTTCTAGCTCTTTCTCATCCTTGTATATCCCTCTCATCACAATGCACCCTCTGCATAACCCAGCCGTGCTTAATAAGTAACTTGCCTTATAAACATTTTGAGTTTCTTAGATTGAATAATGCTTAAAATTGACCAGATGTTCTTAAAATAGTTTGTTGTTTCATTCTACTTGACATTCACATCAGGAAAACAAAGGCTTTTTTTTTCTCTTATTGTGCATTGTGATTTTCTTTGCAAATTCCTGTTTCAAGTTTGCAGCTGTTCAATGTTTGCAAAATCATATTCAGCCCATCCTGTGTGTGGGGAAGGTCCTGATGGGCTTAGACAATGTATCTTTTTTTTTTTCTTTATTTTTTGGTACAGTATGTCCAATTGTTGCTCCCATTGAATCATGATTGTGAGCTCACCTTAGAGAGTGTCTACTCTGTAGGAAAGAATACTGACAAGATGCCAGGAGACCGTGTCTGACCTGCTTCAAGGCTGAATCATGGGGCTGGGAGGTGAGAGGCTATGGCTAACCTGTGCCCAGGGCAGTGGAGGCCACACTGTCTCAGGTCAAGTGGAAATCATGGTCCAGGAAGAAAGGAAGTGAGAGATCAAGCCTTGCAAGTTGAACTGAGGGTCATTATAAACAAGAAAGGAGCCAAGCTCAGAAGCTGGGGGAGAGAGAATTGTCTGGGGAGGAACCAGCCAGGATGGGACCAGTGGTCCAGGGTGAAAGGCAGTGAGTGGGGTCAGGGCCGTGGGCTTCAAGGACTATGTCAAAGGGTTCAGTCCCTGATTTCTGCCATTTGGGGTGATGTGCAGCCTTGGAGCACCCTGCACAGCGGATGATAAAGCAGGAGGCTTCTGAGGTTTTGGTGTTTGCTTCCTCCAAAGATGATGGCCATCAGCGTGAACTTCCTAAGACTAAGTCCATCTTTTACCATCTCTCAGTTTTTCTCCTCCCCTTGGTTCGTATGGGTTAATGTCCAAAAGCTCTTGAACCCGACAGAGCCTAATGATCTTTACCTACCAGGAATTTTAAAAGTATTCTTTCTCACGCACTCTTCACAAATGTACATGGGAGGTGATGGTGTGTAAGTTTTACAGAGAGAAAAAAACTAAAGTTCCTCGAGGTTGAGTAATTTCTCCAAAATCCCATGACCAAGTGGCAGAACAGGAATTTGGACCCAGGTCTGCTGGGTGACATGTCATCTGCTGCTCAGTGCCCTGCAGAATCTGGACCCCAGACCTTTTGGACAGTGTCCACTGCAGCCTTTCCCCAGCTCTCCAGGACAGAAAAGCCCATTAAGCAACCTCTGTCCTCTTGGGGACATTTCCAGTCTTAGGCAGTTTCTCAATGCTTCTAGTAAAGGTTTGTGATCCCTGTTAGGGCTTAGCTAACATTCTTAATCAAAACACAGTTGACACTCTGCACTGTGAGCTTTAAGAGATATTAAGGATTAAAACAGAAAAAGGTGCTGAGAAACATACAGAAAAAAGTCTTGGCACCTGAGCCCAGGATCCAGGTAACACTGGACATTTAAAATAATCATAATAAGCATAAATTCAAGATGCAGGGAGATGTTCCAAATGAAAATGAACTCAGGGACATGAGGAGTCTTGATTCTGGCACGCTCTGTACCCCCAGATCACTGAGTGACCCCCAAATCACCTAAGTGTTCTGGTGCCTTTGGATTAAGGTCAAATGATCATGTTTGTTTAAATTAGCCAGAAGGCTCCAACCCACCCCAAAATTACTTGAATTTGTGTCAGAGTTATTTTCTAACAATGGAAAGTGCACTTACTTTAGACTAAGTCGCCCACAGATATTAACTGTCCTGGGAGGAGGCTGCGGTCCGTTCCCTGCCCCAACCTCGGATTTCCCGCCCTCACTTCCAATGCCGATTCCCGCAGGAATTCAATAACTCCCCTCACTTGCTTGAGCTCTTATAGGTCAGGGTCTCCTCCGCTGCTCTGCCACCCTGACATCACTCACGCGCCTGGGTCGTGTGTCACTGTGTCTTACCTCCTCTGTGCATTCCCAAGACCATCGCAGAGTCTCTTCCCCAGCTCACAAGTGCCTTCCCCACCCCCAGCGCCCTGCGTAGAACCCACAGTGGTTCATCCTAAGTAAATATTTGCTTAGTGATACCCGGTGAGCTGTAAATGTCAAAAAACGAGAAATGGATATAATGTTTTTCTAAAAAAAAGTATCATGACAGCTCCCTGACCCCAGAAATAACTTGTACACCCAGCCCCTCGTTGGTATCATCAGAGGTCTTCTCACAGGTGGATAAACTATGGCCAAATGAGGCATCCCAGGGGAAGGGACGAGGGTTTACTGAGCATTGCCATGTGTGTCACGTCCTTCATATGATCTCTGCTAATCCCTCACCAGCCCTAGGAGATGGAGGTTGTGGCCCCATCACACACATGAGCAGACTGAGGCTGACAGTGGTCAAGCAAGCCAGCACCCTACTAGATAGGGGTGTTCTGTTCGCCCTGGAGGAGCAGAGTTCCTTCTGCCCCTACGGTGTGGCCTCCACACCCTGTTGCCTGGTGAAAGATGCTGGGATACTTCTCTCTCTTATTTTGATATCCACCCCCTTTTCACCTGTATGAAATGTAACCTCCCCTTAAAACTCCAGCCTCATCTCCCCTGTGAAGTTCTATTCGGAAGATTCTAGCCCAGGCTGATTTCCAGTTTTCCCTAGTGCCTTGAGCACTGATTTCACACATAATCCTACACTCTGCCTTGTGTTATCAATTAGCTTTTTATTTGGCAAAGGATGTTCCTGAGTTGAATCCAAAGACCCTAAGGTGGGCAACTCTGTCTCATACATCTTTGAGACTTTCTAAGATCTGAGAGCCGTTTTGTGTATGTTCTGGTCGTTGGTTGGTGTTGTTTTGTCTTGTTTTCTTTCCCTTCATGTGTGTACCTTTGTCGTTATGCATACAGTCTTCTGGTGTACGTGTGGAGTTGAACAAGACAAACTGTCTTTTCATGGCCTCACAAACTTGGGGGGAATGTAGGTGTGTCTTGCTATCCAAATCTTGTCATGCCTCAGTTTAGAGAGTGAGGTTAGGAGTTCAATAGGGAAGGATACCAAATTCTCTAAATCAATTTAGGTCCTGAGATTTGGATAGCAGATAGTGAGAGTTTGGATGGCCATGGATTTTATCTGAAATTTTAACTGAATCTTTCTCAGTTCTGAGTTTGGGGGGCAAGGGGGTGCTGGTAGAATAAAGCACATACTTACCCACCACAGGTGCAAAATAAGTGTTGTAAGGCTTAAATCAAGTTGCAGGGAGTATGCTAGGAGCAAGGAGCCATTTCCCTGGATGCAAGAATTCAGTCAATCAACAGAAAATTATTGAGGCCACCGTGGGTCAGAGCCGAGCTAAGAGCTGGACACTCACACCTTCTCTGTTTCCCCCGAGCAGTAAGCAGTGGAAATCAGTGTGTAACATAGCAATAGGAAGATGCCTGTTATCAGGGGAACACAGACCAGGGGTGGATGTGCACAGAGAATGTTGGGGAGGGTGGGGAAGTGAGGATTGTTCCATGGATGATTGTGAAGTGTCTGTCACACACCGGGCACTGTTGGATGCACTTGACCCACATAAATGAACAAATCTGCCAAAGGGCCTTGCCTCCCTGAAACTTACATTTTAGACAGTCTTCCAGGACGTAGGAGGCAGTGGTGCTTGAGCTGCTTCTGGAAGGTAAGGTGACACCTGGGTGGTGAGGACAGAAACCATTGTGGAAGGACCATTCTACTGGGAGGGCACAGAGAGGCCAGAACTTCACCAACTGGTTTCCCTGGGATATCCCTACAGCAGAGACTGGAGAACACTTTGATCCGATCAGTACTATTTTAACAAAAGCTTCCTTTGCCGGGTTGCTAATGTTCTGCCCTCCTGAGCTGGGTGCTTCGTTAGTGGACGGTGTCTTCCTCAGTACCCATCGGAGGGGTGGAGGGAAGGATGCCGACGGGTAGATCACTCGCCATTTTGAATATTACCATCAATATGGGAAGGGAATCACCCACAGACTCAGATCGGGGACCTCTGGCTAAAACTTCTCAGAGGACCCAGACGAGGACTCTAAAACCCCGGGCCCCTCAGTGTTCACTTGGCCACCCCCCCAGAGCCCCAGTTTCAGCCAGGAGTGACCCCTGCCTCGGTTCTGGTGGAGGCCACAAGTGTCTGATGGCTTGTGCTTCTCTCGTTTCAGACTGCTCTGCCATGACCACAGCACGGTGCCGGCCCACCTGGGACCTGGCCCTGGACCCGCTGGTGTCCTGCAAGCTGTGTCTCGGGGAGTACCCAGTGGAGAAGATGACGACCATTGCCCAGTGCCAATGCATCTTCTGTACCCTGGTGGGTCTTGCAGAAAACACCAGTTTAAAAGAATTTCAGGATGAGCCTTTTTCACTTTTGTTTTTGGAGACACCATGCAGCCCTTTGCCCTCACTTTTGCTCAGTTATTGGAGGGATTCTCCCCCAAATCAGTCAGGCTCCCCAAGCAGGTTCGACTGCAGGCACTCATCTTAGGAGCTGGGAACGGAGTTGAGAAACCCTGAGCATGGTGTGTACACTCCTTTCTGGAAAGGCAAAGCTTCACCACAGCTCCCTTTAAATTTAGTTGAACAGTGACATGCCTGAGATTGCAGGGGTGCTGGCCTGGTGAATGTGTACGGCAGAATAGTCAGCTCTCCGTGTCAGCTGTCACTGCTTTAGTGCTAAGCTGGAGAGGCTGCATCTTGAAATCACTTTTGAATTTCCTGAAGATGCAGCCAGCGTCATCGTGGGCCAAATGGCCTGCTCTTAATGCCTGTAGGGGCTTCTGTTTCCATCAGGCCTCACTCAGACCCAGCATTTTACCTATCAGAAGAGAAAAATGAGGGTGTAGGGTTTGTTTTCAGTTTGTCTCGTTTAATTTTGCTTGGTTTTTCTTCCCATTCAAGGAATACAAAAAAAAAAAAAAGAAAGAAAGAAAAGAGAAAAGTCCGGAAAAACAATTTTCCTTTAAATTGTGAAAAACTAAAAAGTTTCTGAATTTGACTACTGTTATAAATGGACTATAGGGACGGCCTTCCCATGTATGGTTCAGATGTCTGGATTGGGTTCTGTCCCCAACAGCCTCCTCCTGATTTTCAGAGACTTCTTTCTTCCTGCCCCTATTTTACAGACCTTTTCTGTTTGGGACCTATGTGCATTCAATAGCATCATCTGCATTTTACAGATGAGACAACAGAGCTTTCAGTCGATTAAGTCTGGGTCTCTGACTTCCCTTTATGTTAGACACTGGCTTCCTGAGGGCACAGTTCTGCCCCCAAATGCCTGATTTGCAGCGGGGCCCATGATAGATAATCAGGAGAGGCGGCTGGGTTGAACCGCACACAGTCAGCCTCAGCCATGTGCTTAGCAGCCAAGAAATGTGCCTCATTAAAGCCCCAGGAAAGCAACTTCAACCTGGACCACCGGAAGTTGCTTTGGGCTTTTTCTGAGCTGGGGAAGAATGGAAGGGAGAGAGCCCTGGCGGGAGGTGGGTGGAAAGACAGACGTGCAGCCAATGAACACAGAGAATTGGACTCGTTTTCATTTCTGGAGGATGAGATGGCCCAGCGTGGGGATGGATTAAAGAGTTCTCTTTATGCAAGAATTGCCTGAAGGGAAGTTTTCCGCAATCTCAACCAAGTGGCTTGATTCCCCTCTGATGTGCCTGTAGGCGAGCTTGCTGCCACTCGTGTCCCCTGCCTGTGTCATGTGGGGAGGGCCTCATGGGCCCACGGCTTCTTTTCTTCCACTGTGAGGTCGCCCATTCACCCTGGCATGGTTTTACCCAGCCTTTCATTTGTTGTCATTATTGTTTTAGTTTTCTATTTCTAGAGCATAGTAGTGAAAATAAATAGGCAAGTCTAATTCAGATCAAACATTTAATTTAAGTCAGGGACTGTGAATAGGGGAAAATAACATTGTTTTCTCAAAGAGGGGTTTGCTGGGAGCACTGAGAAACAGGTGACAGCTGTGATTGTTTTCTCACAGCCAGTTATTAAAAATTAAGATGTTGAGGCAGGCATACTTGTGTCCGCAGCTCCCTACAATGTGAAGCACAGGAAGAACCTGCGTGTCGCAGACTGGGGGAAGGTACCCATGTCCCCTAGGGCTTCCGTCACCTGCCGTCCCCCCTCCGTGTAGGCCTCAGGGCCCCCCAGCCAGCAGAACTGCCACTGTCTTCTTCCTGGGGACAGACCTGGGAAGGTAGG